ATTAAACACAGAAGTGGCTGAAGTGGACTGATGAATTTACAGCCCGTAAAAGCCCCAAACAAACATCTGAACACTGCTGTGTCTCCATCAGAGTCGGACTGGACACCGGCAGCTAGCACATTGGAAACATTATGGATGAACCCGTATCTAACTTCACAGGAGCTTTGGTTGGTGTAAAAAGATCAATCAACTCGACACAACTCAAATCCTCCAAACAGACCCAAGAAGTCAAAGGGCACCTCATTATGTCAGTCTGTTTGTTTTAGAGAAGATAACAAAGGAAACTCCATCTCTAATAAAAGTTTTACATTGTCTACTTTTTCCATTTCCAAGAACACAATCTTTTTTTCTTTTTGAAATCAGAGACCAAAAATTGCACAGAGTTGAATATTTATAGTGTTTCTTTGTGAACATTGTCATATGTCATCTTTGCAAGAGTTGCTTTGTTTAAAACTAATTCGCAATTTATTTTGTAATCTTTGGTTCTTCTGTATTCCTGCCATCTCAGTGTTAAGGGAGGCAGAGTAAGAAAGGGAGCAAACCTTTATTGCCCCAGCTCCATCACCATCACCTGCTCACAATCTGTTAATAACTCTCCAGTATTTAAACTCCTCTGTGTGTCTTTTGTCCTTTGCAGTGTTTTCTTGTTCTCACCAGTTAAGCCTTCCAGAAATTTCTTTGGTCTTGTTTGTTTCATTCCTTGTGTGTCTGCCTGTCTTTGGATTTTTGCCTCTTCCTGACAGATTTGTTTGGTCACGATTGCTTCCTGCTTGATTCAAATGTGATTTTGAGAGAAGTTAAATATTTCTGCTGAACATTGCTGCCTGTGAACTCTTTAAATGAACACACACAGTCATGACGCCCTCTGAAGGAATGGAAATATGACTGTGTGCATTAATTTGAGACTTTAATGAATCTTAATAAAACTTCATGAATTATGTATGTATATGAGGTTCAACTGCTTTACGTGCCCGAAATGTGACCGCGTGCTTAAGTGTGGTTGCTTAAGTTTAATCTCCCCATAACAAGAAGAACGCAGGAAAACACATGCCCACACCCCCCAGTGTTCAGCCTGGTACAACAGTAAACAATAAGACAAAAGCTCTCTGTCCTCTGCAGCCTGATCAGACCTACATCACTGCCGTCCTCAGTCTGACAGCAGCACCAGGACTCTGCGGAACCCTCCGGGACCCTCCAGGACTCCCACAGGAATATGGACCCCAAGCGCCTCTCCACAAGCTCTCAGCAACAGGTTCGACTCAGGCAAAAGGTAAAAGATCTGCTGCTCTTCACACAGCAAACGTGATTATTTTACATGAACACACACACTCAAAAAAAAAAGCAATGCAAAAATGAACAAAACAATAAAAAAGTGGGTTTGGTTTCACTCAATGACTCAGTGAGAATCTGATTATTATTTACAGGAAAATTAGTGGGAGAAAAAAGTGAACTTACCTCCAAAGTACTACAAAAAACACAACAACATACAACAACAAGTATGACAACAAAGCACTGACTGGACAATGAATACAGGAGTTTCTAAACTGACTGCAGTACCTTCATTGAGGAGTTAAAGTGTGATTTGGAAGGTGAGGGAACGCTTACACTTTGTTTCATGAGCTTTGTGTACAGGCTGTGATTTGCTAACCCTGCTGCTACTCCAATATTCACCGTCCTTTGTGGAGAATTAAACTTAACAAGATGAAAGCAGAGAGCTTCATGGCTCAACAATACAAAGCAAGTTTTTTTTTTTTTTTTTTTTTTTAAAAGCACTTTAACCCCTGATTTTAATCATCAGAAACAATTTGTTGTTGAGGAATGACCTGAGGAGGTAGGGAAGCTTTCACTGCAGCAAATGTATGAGTAAAATGCAGCAAAGGAAAACAACTGCATTTAAACACAAAGTGCTACTAGAATCGGGGAAATTGACTTATTTTAGCCTATGAGGGGCTACAGGAAGTTAGCAGAGTGAGTGCAGCTTTAAAGACAAATACAAAAGTGAAGGAAACTTTGCAAAATCAGTGTAACACTGAATGAAAATCAGCATCCTCACTGTCTCACACTTACAGTCACATCAGCACTAAAACAGTTTAAGGAGGGGCACACAGCCACCTGCAGAAGCTGCCGTCATGAAGACCAAATCCTTTACTTCATGGCAATCAGAGAGAGCACGAAATAAACTTTCGTTTTTAGTCTTTGGGCGGGATGCCATGACAGCCTATAAAAATGCTAAAAAAGGTGATCACGGCTGAAGGCACGCCCACGTTAACAGATGGTTTAATGAATGCCTCAAAGGAAAAACTGAGAATTTCTTTAAACATTCAGATCAGATTTCAACTGAAGGAAAATCCTCCTTTAAATTTATACCAGCAGTAGCAGGTCAGCTCTCAGATAAAAGTTCAAACACTCAAGCTTGACATGATGAAAGTTGAATCTACAGTTTAGCTGTGATTGTAGAAGTTACACAAACTTGAAGAAGTCCTTTCTCAGAAATCTAATATCTAGTGTGAGAATGTGGTGTGTGAAGAATTCAAATGCAGGACACAATCAGACCAAAAGTGAGTCATTTATTTGGCTGTTTGAACAAAAGGTAAACAAAAACCAGAAAGAAACGGCAAAACCAGCATCCACAACGGGCACGAGGAGTAAAAAAATTAAATTGAGGAATACAAGAGCACAAAGGAAGAAAAGGTTGCAGGACAGAGCACAGGTGAAAGCAGTTAATAGCAAATGAGAATAAGGGAAATGATTGTGTTAGTGCAGAATATAAATAGTACAGCCTGCAATAAATAAACAATATAGTTACAGTAAAAGTGCCACAGGTGCATAGTATGATGTGCAAAATTTATGTACACAATAGTGATTAAAACAAACAAATAAAATACAAACATTAAATTAGGTTAAGTTAGACAAGTTAAACAACAGTGCAAATTGCATTAATAAATAATATGTACAGCTGCAGGTCAAGTCCTCATGGTAACTTACAAAGGAATCCTTTTTTTCATGGCTCTGTCTGTATTTATAACAGTTCCATTTCTTAATCGCTGACAGATACTCTAAAATATTTTGACATCATGCATTATGATTTTCAGTCATTTTATGAAAAAAAAAACATAAACCCAAACAAACCTGCAGTTCTGCCATCATAGTTTTCTCAGAAGGGACGGACTGCCTGAAACTGCACCTGGCTCTGAAAGCTACCAACTGTTCAGAGATCAGAACCAGGGAGACAGGCCCAGCTACAAACATTGTTCAAATATTCCTGAAAGGTTTGTTCACCATCTGCTCTGGCTGCTCGATTGTCAAACTGCAAGTACTTCGGGATATCTTCGAGTCTTCTTCTAGATCTGTCTCTTCGAAATATCAGAGTGTAGCCATTAGAAGTCAAAAATCAGAACAAAATCTGTATAGTGCTAAAAATATTTCTACACAACTTTCTGTTTCCCTTTCCTTTCCTTTCCTTTCCTTTCCTTTCCTTTCCTTTCATTTCCTTCTTCTTGGAGGTATATGAACATGTAGTGATGCAAAGTTCAAACGCCAGCCTTTTTTCTTTCTTAGCTATGACAGTGATGTGTCCAGCATGTGGAAGAAAGCATATGTTGCTGTATGATGGTGTGTTGTGTATGTGGTGACTGGTGGAGAATGTCAACAGTGCATTGAGTGTTCGCATGGACGTGAAACAAAGATGTCACTTCTTTAAATGTTGCAGGAGCTCTGCGTGGCAGTCTGTCAGTGGAGGTCAGAGGTCAAACTGCTTTCTTTAAAAGCTTTATCAAAATCAGCAGGTTTACAGTGACAGACACAGTGGCTTTCTTCAGCATCAACAGCAAATGCACACTGAGGAAGAGAAGGGAAATGAAAAAGTACATAAATACATACATGCAGGGAAGCTGACAACACCAGAGCAGCTTCTTCTGCAGCACAGGTCAAACTTATCATCCCGACAGTGAAAACATCGAAAGGATAAACAGTATTTGTAAGTGAGGAAGTTTACTGAAAATTAATCTTCAGCTCCTCTTATTTTGGTTGCCACAGATGATCATTTGCCTCCATCTCCACAAAAACCCTCTGTATGTCCTCCTTCACGATATCCATGAACCTCCTCTAACGTCTTTCTCTTTCCTCCTGCCAGCCGGCTCCACCTTCATCATCATTTGTCCAGTACATTCACTCTCCCTCCTCTGCACATGTGCAAATCATCTCAGCCTCACGTTTCTGACTGAGCTGTCCCCCTGATAGACTCATTTCTAATCCTGCATCCTGTTCACTCCCAATGGAAATCTGAGCACCTTCAGTACTGCCACCTCCAGCTCTTGTGTGATTCATATTATGTTATATCATGTTACAAAAAACAATAAAAAATACAGTCAATAAAATAATCAAAGCAAATACACTGCTCAGTGCTCGGCACACTGAATTTAAATTGAATTAATTTTGCATCCATCTCTCTTCTGTAGTTAAGAATGGCAAGTGAATAAAAGTATTGATCCATTAATTTTCATATCAGACAATGCTCCATTATCCTTGCAACACATCACTGATTGTACTCCTGACTAATCTATATTAAATACATTATATAATAATAAAATATTCTATTGAAAAATAAAGCTTTAAAATAAATAGGGTAGAGTACGACGTACACTATTAGTATTCAAACTATTATGTTAAATAAGCCCACACCTCTGATGGGTTTATGCTTTTATTGAACCTTTCATAGCAGATATCAATCTGGTTTGCAGAAATGTATAATTGCGGGATTTTGGGGGAGAAACTGAGGTTTAATTCTTTATTTATTGCATAGATTGTTGCTTAACTTTGGGGTATTTCACTCTGTTTGAGAAAACTGTTGATGATTACTTAAAAGATGTGACTGTTTAGAGTATTTTGTGTTACTTTCTAGTGTAGATTAGCTCTACAGGGCAAACAGCGGCATCTTGCCTTTAGAATGGATTTAGTGGTCAAAGCAGGTACTGCAGCTGCAGGTCAAAAACGGCTTTGTTGTTCTGCTCCGCTCACGGCGCGGGCACAAGCGCAAGCGCAATGAGATGAATGGCCGCAGCACCTGACGGCCCACCAGGAAGTGTGGCGGACAAATCCTCGGCCGTTAATCCCCGCTCGGTTAGGTACCCGGAGTAGCCTCCGACAAGTAGAATGCTCAGCGGGTCGGAGCGTTCTGTCTGACCGTCGGGACCGTCTCCGCTCCGGGTTCGGCCTCCGGGATCACGCGGGGCTGGTCGTCTCCTCCTCGCCCCCCACCCCCCCGCCTGTCGGGCTCCAGACCCCGCTGCTGCTGAGCTGAAGCTCTGTGAAGCTCCGTGAAGCTCCGGGCACCTCCACCCTGACTGCAATGGGATGCTGCGGTAGCACGGAGGTAAGCGCGGCCTGGTTCGGTTCGGTCCGGTCCGGTTCGGTCCGGTACCGTGCTCGATCTTCTAAGCGTGTCCTTCAGCAGAGCGCCGGTGTGTGTTTATTTTGTGACCGTGAAAGGGAAACCGGTCCCGGGGACCAGAGCGGGCCGAGCTAGGATTAGAGCCAGCAGCTCGTTTAATCCAATTAGCTCCAGCCGGGAACAGGCGGGTAACCGCGGCCTGTGAGCGGCCCCGCTCCGCTCTCTGCGACCGTAAACACACACGGAGCTGGGGGATGGAACCGAGTTAGCAGGCCGGGGCAGGTGGGAAAGAGGGAGGGATGGAGTTCCTGAAGGCCCCGCTGTGCTCTCACCGTGTGTGTGTGTGTGTGTGTGTGTGCGTGCGTGCGTGTGTGTCTTTCAGAGGACAAAGAGAGAATGGAGACCGCTGGAGGACCGGAGCTGCACAGACCTGCCCTGGTTTCTGCTCTTCACCGTCTTCTGCGTCGGCATGGTAACCACAGAAACCCTCCATCAGCACCCACATCACTCACAGTACTACAGTAATGCTACAGTAATAAAAGACACAACACTACGATGATAATATGGCGATAGTAACCTGGTATTCCAGTGATATTACCTCAGGAGTACATACAGTAATGTTGCCACACAACACTACAGTACTATTACTGTAATACCCTGGGTATTATACCTCTGAACTATAGTAATATTACATTAATGATATGCCTAATACTACTACAATGATAACAATGTAAATATTACAGTAAAGATGTTCTCATAACTACAGTAATTTTAGAGTATTAATACCAACTAATTGTACAATGACAATAAGGTATTAATATCCTATTATTACACTAATGATAACCTCTAAGAACTACAATATTATTGTAGAAATATTGTTCTTGGTACTACACTGATACTACAGTAACATCCCAGTATTACAGTGATGATACCCTCGGATATACAGTATCAATACAGTAATAATACCACACAAAACTACAGTGATACTCCGGTAATTGCAGTTAATTACAGCAATTACAGTAATGGTACCCCAGCACTACAGTAATAATACAGTAACAATACCCTCAACATTACAGTGATATTATAGCAATAAGAGTTCCAAACAATAGTAATAGTGCATTTATATTACCTCACAATAATATAGTAGTACCACAGTAATAACACTTCCTGTACTACAGTGATACTGTAGCAATAGCACCCTCCTGTATTACAGCAATTATACCACCAATGCTACAGTGATACTACAGTAGTGATACCTCATAAAACAGTCATACTATGCTAATAATGTCCACCAGCACTAGCTGCTAAGTAAAATAAAAGCACAAATGATAGTAGATTTTTGGGTAAATAAGAGCCCACTTGTGATTATGAGCATAACTCTTCTCTTTGTGTTGCTCGCAAAATCATTTTATCAGTTTATGAAGGATTATGTTCAAAATCTCTAACGATAACTGCAGTAAAAGTATTTTCACTGTTACCAATCTTGATCCCATATTAGCCATTATTTAAAAGTCACTTGCTTCGTTTATGCATATTTTCTGAGTTACAGGCGGAATAAATTTTACTTACTGAAATAAAAACTAGACTTAATTAAAAAATGAAATGATATTGTTACTTATTAAATTCACCTTGGATATTTTGCCCAACGTGTTCTTAACGTGTTCTTTGAAGCAGGTCATATAAAAAAATAAGGTTAAAATCATCACTTCATTACAAAGACTGGAAGAACATAAACAATAATGGATATATAGCTCATAAACGGTGAAATACAATGCTTGTCCTTCCTTCTCAAGAGACGATCGAGTGTTTTTTATTAAGGCTTTCTGTGGCTGAAGTCAAATTAATTAATAATAAAAGTAAAAGTAACACAGCAACGGTCATACCGAGTAGTAAGGACAATTCAATTCAATTCTATTTATATAGCGCCAAATCACAACAACAGTCGCCTCAAGGTGCTTTATATTGTACAGTAGATCCTAGAAAAATAGATACAGAGAAAAACCCAACAATCATGTGACCCACTATGAGCAAGCACTTTGGCGACAGTGGGAAGGAAAAAACCCTTTTAACAGGAAGAAACCTCCGGCAGAACCAGGCTCAGGGAGGGGCGGCCATCTGCTGCAACCGCTTGGGTGAGAGAAGTGAGTGCTATGGGGTGAGGACATAGCAAAGAAACTAGGACAAAGCTTAGCTTCTTTTTGATGACTTTATCTAGCTCTTAATCTTCATTTCTAAACCTTCTAAAGCAGCGGTCCCCAACCTTTTTTGCGCCACAGACCTCTCTGCCCCTGTACTCTGGTCGCTATGGTAACACGGAAATATTTATTTCAAAATAAGACACACAACAGGTAAAGACCCAGGGAAACCGAGTTAATGATAAAAACCCTGAAAACCATCAATTTCACACAATAGCCTCAAGCTACAAGGTCCGTAGCTTGGGGTTGGGGACCGCTGCATTCTTCACATATGACAAAAACTTCATAGGAAGCAGATGTTATCAGAGCAGCGTAACGTTCACAGTTCACCTGTGTGGGATTAACAGCCTGTCCTTAAAAGCTCCAAACGCACAATTAATAAAACATGATTGTGCCACTTGTGTTGATGGTCTTTGTTTTCGTGAATAGTCGGATGTTCGATTGGCGCTTGGTTAGGAAGCTTCCCGAAGCAAACTGGACTAGTTTAGTCTTTGTGCAAATATGTCAACACGACACACCTGTGGAGGCTTTGGTGCATCTGTTTATTTATACTGGGATATGTACCTGACACTCAGTCAGGTGTTTGTTTGGTGTTATTGTGTTACCAGACAGTTCCACACTTCCTAAATCTTACAATCTGACAAATACTACACATTATACAGTCATTGGCCACCTTTTTAAGGTTGGACCTTCTTTTGTCTTTAGGACTGCTTTAATGATTCATTTGCTGGAAACATTTGTCAGGAATTTTGGTCCATATCAACGTGATAGCATCACATAGTTCCTGCAGATGATATTAATCTTATGTTCCACCATGTCTCAGATGTGCTCTATCCATATCTGGTGACTGTGAAGGGCGTCTGGATACAGTGAACTCATTCTTATGTTCCTCTTTGTGACATGATGTGTTATCCTGCTGGAAGCAGTCATCGGAAAATGGGTACAGTTTGGTCACAAATTCATGGACAGCTCAGGTAGACTTTGATGTTTATATGATGAGTGCAGTTCATACTAAGAGTTCCAAAGTGTGCCAAAAAATTCCCTCCACACCATTACACCACCACCACAACATTCTCATTTTGTTTACACTAAATTCCAGGCAGCATTTTTCCAATCTTCTAGCATGTGTGAATTGAAGCCTCAGTTTCCTGTTCTTAGCTGGAGTGGCACATGGTGTGGTCTTCTGCTGCTGTAGCCCATCTGCTTCAACGTTGTGTTTAGAGATGTTTCTTCTGCATGTCTTGGGTGTAATTAGTGGTTATTTGAGATACTGTTGCCTTCATTTGAGTTCAAAGCAGTCTGAACAGATGTAACCAGTAAAGTGGCTGATGGCTGAAAATGAAACTATGTTTGATTTTGTTTTTTAAACTTAAATGAGCAAATTTTATTCACTGACACTAAACCAAAGATTTTAAATGAAATAAAAATACAAATTATTATGAATCTGCATCTTACTGACCGATAAGCGTTGACCCAGAAAATCAGGCGAGTGAATTTAGCATTTTCTGATGTTTGTGGTTGAGAGTTGGTGCTAAAATGTGGAACAAGCCTGTTTTTAGTCTAATGTTTTTCATAAAGAACGGACTCTGAGGCTTCTCTGTAACTGGGATTTGGCTGAGCAGCGTGAGAGCGCATGACGGTATAAGCAAGACGTGGGAGATGTGTGAACACTTTGAGAGAAAAAAACATGTATGAAAAGTAAAGTCGGTGAAACTTGCCTTTACAGCTTTGTCTTGTTAAGAATCGACTTGAAGAAACTGTTTGCACTGTAGTTAGAAGCCCCTTCAAACTGCTGCCTGCCTCTATAATATGTTTGGTGTTGTTGATGTTCTAACAGCGTTTCTGTTTGAGTTGATTTATGAGGAAAATTACTTACTGGACATGCAGCTGAATACTTTTCTGCTGCCACAAGCACAGATACAGAAAATCTTTACCAGCTTGTGCCACAGTGACTGCATTCATTTTACATTTTAACCCCTTATTGTAGATTTTGACTTAATAAGTCTTCAGTTTTTTCTATATTTTATATATAGTTAGCCATTGTAACACAGTAATCGCTGACGATGGATTACTGCTGAAACGCCGCTGAGTCTTTGCCCTTTAATTAACATGGTTAAGTAGTCTTTCTTCCTTTTCAGCTTAGTAATTACACAACTTTTGGGTTCTCTTACATCTTAAATTTCTGTAAAAAAACCTCAGAAATAAAGAAAAGACAGCACAGATTGCTTTACTTTTCAAGGTGAAAGAGAAAGATGTTCATTCGCTGGCCCTGGTGGGTTCAACAACTCAAGCGTGTTAGAACATCAACAACATCTCCTGCCAGACTTATTGAGGCAAGCAGCAGTTTGAAGAGACCTGTAACTACAGCACAGCAGTGATAAAACTCATTTTTATTTGCGGCACATCTGAAGGCAGAAGGCCAGGCTGTATGATGTGGGCAAACACCCTGATTATTTAGGTGTATTATTTTTTGACTCGGCACCACGACATGTTTGGTTTTATTAAATGCCTCAGATTCTAAGATTATTGTGGTAACAGGAAGTAGCAGCAGGAACAGAGCAGGCAGCTGATTGGCTTTTAGAGCCTCAGGCAGAGCTCTGACTGGTCAAGAGTCGTTTGATTTTACAACTGAAGTGAGTACAGGAATAGATGCATGAAAATTTTATGATGAGTAAATGGACTGGTTCTTATATAGCGCTTTTCTACTTTGTCCGAGCACTCAAAGCGCTTTATACAGCTAATTCATTCACCCAATCACACAAGCACTTCTAAGCTTAAGTGCTAAGTATCTAACATTCACACTCCGATGGATGCATCGGAGAGCAACATGGGGTTAGTATCTTGCCCAAGGATCTTTGGCATGCAGACTGGAGCAGCCTGGGATTGAACCACCGACCTTCTGGTTAGTGATCCGCTCTGCCACCTGAGGGGTGGCTGTAGCTCAGGTGGTGTAGCTCAGGTTTATTCTCTACTGAGCTACAGTGGATCTGAACCTGTTCAGGTCAGAACATCTGCTATTCAGCCCTGATTTCTGTGGATTTAAACATTTTAGATGTCACGTGGTCTTAGATTTTTCACAGTGATGTCCTGACGGGGTTTTTACTGGAACTCATCCTGAGTTTGGTTATTTTATGTGCTGCTGAGATGAGAGTCATGAAAGTTTCCATATATATTCATAGTCTGGTGCAAGTATCAGTACAGATAAAACACAACAGATTTTGCCAACCATGCAAAAGCTGTAGGCCCAGATTCAAATCTATGCAGTTGATCAGATTAGATTATTGACTGAAGATAAATTAACATGTAACTGGAGAATGTGACAACAGTAGATGGGATACAGTGCACTGAGGGATGAGATTCAGTGAATATAGACAGCAAGAAACGCGCCTGTTGCTAAAGGTGTGTTGCTCTCGCTGACTCTCTTTCTATCCTCCAGGGCAGCATCTGCGGGTTCACCATCGCCACCGGCGGCGCCGCTCGCCTCGTCTTCGGATATGACAGCTATGGCAACACCTGCGGCCAACGAAATGAACAGATTGAAGGCGTCAGGCTGAGTGGCCTCGACCACACTGACAGGAAGTAAGTACTGAGGTTTTTACTGTTCCTCATACAGTTAAAGTGTTGAGTTTGTTACTGTTTGACAGGAATCTGTGCATTTTGAAGTTACTTCTGACTATTTGAGAAACAAAAATGTGATATTTGAATAAATATATACTCCCCTTAACAAAGCAATGTTTAAAAACAGGTTATCAGAGGAGAGATTTTGTGTATGAATTTGTCTGTCGGAAAAACTCGCGACTACAGGAATTCTTTAGTTTGGCGTATCTTGGTTTATAGGTTGTATTAAGGTGTTCATCTTTACAGTTTATAAAGCTCTTTCAGTGCATAGCAGTTTCGATTATTGTGTTGATATTTTATTGCACAGTGCTGTGTTTTGTGTCTAATAATTAGGATTTTATTGCATAAATATTTTAGTTTTTTTTAAGTTAGCAGGGTCTTTTTGCAGTTTTGTTTAATTTATTTTGTGCTCCTGGTGGTGATATATGTAAATAATTTAATTTCACTGTAATTCTTTAGTATTTTTGTTTGTATTCTGGTTGTGTTGCACGTCTGTCCTGTACAGTCTGTCTTTGTTAATTTGCAGTATTACTGATGTAGTACTTGGGTATTTTTAGAGCGTTGTGGCAGCTCATCCTGGCACTTTAATACTCGATGCGTTTGAGGTCCTGTGGGAGAGTTCAGCATTGATTATGCTGACACTAGCTGAGAACTGTGACTCATCTCACACACACACACACGCAGAGCTCCACCTGCTGGAGGGTGAGCAGCTGTTGGAGTTTGGAGGCGATGTCAGACCTACTTTTACACACGGTACAGATCTTTGTTAGACATCTGTCAGCTCTTTACTGTGTCAGACTGTTTGATCTCTGAGACATTCTGACTGATGTGGGATCAGATGTAGTCCTTCAGCTGATATAAACCCACGGGAACACGAGGCTGAACAGAGAGCGAGGTGATTTCAGGTGAAGTGAGCGGGATCACAGGATCACAGATTCCTGCGCCTGTAGGAGAGGAACGGCGAGGGTTTGAGTCTCTGCAGGCTCTTTGTGGCTCTTTGTTTCCATTTGTTGTTGAGTCACACGTTTCTCCCACATCTACATTCCTGCATTCTGCTCAGCTTTAATCCTCCTCTGCTCAGTCTCAGCTTCTATTTTTACTCAAACACTTCTGTTCATGACTCAAGTCGGGATTATCAAACTGGGCAGAGTGGGCAGCACTGCCAAAATTCAGCAGTCAGTTCAAGTCTACGGTACGTGAAACAGTCAGATAGTAGCAGCACTGATACACGATGGACTGAAGAGCAGGCAGCTGATGTAGTGCTCGAGCTGGGTTTTGTATAATAATGAGGTTGATTAATAATAAAATGGATCATGAGTATAAAATTATAACTAAAACTGAGTGTATCCAGTTTTTAAAGTATATTTCCTTAATGTGATTGCATTCTATTGCAGTCTCGACACGCCTCTTTTGATAGAAATTAGGTGTAAAATATTCCTGTTCTTAAACATTTCTGCAGTTGATATTTATTTGAATGTGATCCTTTAAAACGCACTGAATAAGTAGGTCCATTCAACCCTACTGAAGGCCTTCCCTGCACTTAAAGACACTTAAAGGACTTCATCAGAAGCTTTTTTGCTTTATTTATAATATTTGGTACTCTTCTAAAATCTGGAAAATTGTGCTTTTCTTTTAAAAATGCATTGTGTTCTTTATCAGCAATTCCTGAAATTAAATTTTGATAAAGTTACTGGCTTCATGTCTTCATATTTATTAGAAAATGGAGATTTTTCTGGTTTTAGAAGCACCATTTGTTAAATGTTTTAAATGCCAATCCACTGCTGACCTATTTGGTCTCACTCTTTTTTAGATTTTAAGGTCTTTGGAGGCATTTACCTGCGTTTCTATATATATATATATATATATATATACATTGAGTCATTTTTTCTATTATAAATGTCAATGTGCTGACTTCCTGTACTTTTTGTCGCTTACAGGTTTGTTTTCTTCCTGGATCCCTGTAACATCGACATTGTTCAAAGGAAAATCAAGTCGATGGCTCTTTGTGTGTCTCTGTGTCCCACAGAGGAGCTGAAGACCTACCAGGACCTGAAGAGGTTCGCTATGGTCAATGGTGAGGGCATAAATGTCACACGACTCCTTGCACGCTTGAATAGGTGTCTGGATATCCAGATATATTTTTACACGTCTTAGCTGAGGGACAAAGAGGCTTTGTTCTAGGCTTTAGAGGCAGGAGAGGGTGTTGATGGGAAATGTATTTGAATCTGTGTCTTTATTTGTTCAGCAAGGTCAAACATTTAAAGCAGGTAAAGTTTTTGAGGTATAAACAGATTATATGTTAAAGATGAAAACAGGTGTAGCTGGCCGGGGTGATGTGTTGGAGGTGAAAACTGAAAGGTGACGATTGTGTTGAGATGTTAAAGAGTGTTAAAGAGGAAAGCCGATGAAGTATTGAAGCTTAAAGCAGGTGAACCATTAAAGATAGAAGTAGGTAAACAGCTGGAGGTGAAAGCAAGTGATGTCTTGAAGTTGTGACGACCCTTAGGCACTAGATGTCCCTGTTTTGGTTTTGTGGTCTTGTCTGATTTGGAGAGTAATTAGCTGTGAGAGCTAGGCCCAGTGAAACACTCCCTCCTGCCTGCACTTGCATTGCTCCCTGTCCTGGTTTGGATTTGAAACCAACCTTCTAAACTGGACCAGTTCAGCTGCATCATGTTTTCTTGTGTTATTTTTTGCTTTGCACACATTCTGCCGCATGCATGTGCAAGCTTTACACTTCTGACAAAGGCATTCTCTGTAATGATTTTTTTTATAAATAATCATTTTCCAGCATGCAAAAGTGTTAAAGATGTAACGGGTGATCTGCTGAAGGTGAAAACATACAATGTGCTGAATCTGAAAGCAGGTGTTAAATATGAAGGGTGGGTGATGCGTTGGAGGGGACAAGCAGGTGGAGTGCTGGAAGTGGCGGGGGATTGGGGGGTGCACCGTGTGACTCGATGTTCTCACAAAGACCGAAGTACGAACATGTTGCTGGTTTTAAAGGAAGCAGTGATGTCAGCACTTGGCCGACCGCGCGCCATCGCGTCACCGTGATGATTGAATGTCTGCAGACCGGACACACCAACAGTATACTGAACTTACAGTACAGTAACAAAGGCAGCATTAATACGTGTCGTGTCATTGGTGCCACTCTGCTCTGCTTCTCCTCCATCATGGCTGCTCTGTGACTCAGAGCCTTCACTGTTCACTTGAGACACAAACGTGTTGAAACATGACGGCAGACCCTCGGTCAGGTGACCTCACAGCTCCTCCGGCAGTCGTTTATAAAGGATCCACTGTCACAGATTCACACAGAGGAACTAGTTTCTCTGCTACACCTGAGCAGCCTGTCACAGAGGCCCAGCTCCAGCACGCTCACACTCCGTTTGTTCATACAAGCGGAAATATTCATATCTGTGTTTCAGATTAAACTTTCAAAATAAAAATCAAATCAAGTTCACAGTCAGGAATGATACAAACTGGGCATATTAGTCAAATGACTGGGCATATTAGGGACTAGTTTCTCTTGGAGCTGTTTGCACTTGATGGTGTTTTTTTCCACTCTTCAGCCAAGACATTTTAATGACTGTAGTCATCTGAGCTTTGCATGTTTCTTTTGTTTGAGTTCTTCCCTCCTAAGAATGGTGCCTTTGGGTGGTGATTATGTATGGCAGCAAGCATGATCACTGTGGAGAGCAGAGGTAGTGATACCTTTTTGATACAAATATGTGCAATTTTCTGTAATATGTCTATGTTGCACCAATAAATGAAAGCGCAAGTAACTAACTGGTTTAAAAATAGTATCATACCTCTAGAGTATATCAGTATAGTATATCCATGTACACTTCAGAGTCCATCTTTAACCAGCAGTGGCCTAGTGTCACTGGAAGCTAAACTGGTCCATGCATCACACTGTCTGGACTGCACACTGTATGGATGTGGTTTGCTTCAGATCCTGAGCTGTTCAATGCCTTCTCCACCCATTTTCCCTCCATCATTACTCTACATGTTTATTTTGGTTTTGTCTGTCTGCTGTTTCAGAGCTATAGGTTTTGCGGCTTGTGCTGAACCCACTGGAGTTGCTCTCTGAAGTTGTGTCTTTATGGTAAACTTGAGCAACAATATGTTTACCTCCTGGAAAGTGTTCTTTTTTCTTGACCATGGAAAGGATCCTATGATCATCCTCCACTGTTGTCTTCTGTGGACGTGCAGACCTTTTAGTGCTGCTGGGCCCAACATTGTGTTCGAGTTTTCTTCTGAATGTACCAAACTATCGATCTATCCTTGCCTAGTGTCACAGGTCGTGGGAACAGTGAAGGATTTGTATTGTGCTTAGGGTAGTTGAACTGGCTGCATGCTGTGGGTTCACACAAGCAGCTGCCAATAGCAGATGGACCTGGACTCATCTATCAACCTTTTAGCTGTTTAATTTATGATGAATTAATGAAACTCTGTACCACAGGTTACATTTGGCCCCTGGAAGTTGTCTATGTAGTACAGACCTATAAACTTTTCCTCCAGATGTCAAGGCCAGAGGGCCAACATGAGGGAATGGACTTGAATGCAGACCACACTTGGAGTCAGGGACTGTGAGCAAAATAGACTGTTATTACAGAGCGTGAACTGAGGCACAAAGTGTACAGAAATGCAAGGAGCGATAGCAAGTATACCATAAACTTAGGGCAAGTGACAAAGCAAACTAGGAAGCTACTACTCAAATAATTCTTTGATACATTATGAACAGGAGTAATACAATAATGTACTAGTTCCTTGAACTGTACCATAATCACGTGAAGTATACTATGAAGCAAAGAAACAACACTATAAAAGTCACACGATTGCAAAAACACTGAAACGAGTGGTTAGTAAATCACTACGTGAACTGTGACATGGTCTGTGAGGGAGCGTTGGGGTTGTTGTGGACGAGGGCTGGGGACCCAACACTGGGTAACATCCAGTGCAGGACCCATGGGGTGTGGGACAGAGGGAAAGGGTGTGGCGTAATTCTCAGAGTCACTGAAACAAGGGAAACAAGTGTTAGAAGGGATGCCAGATGCGGATCCAAGGCGTAGGTTGCAAATTGCAAACAGTCTTACTTTTCACAGGCGGCGGCGAAACATAGAGGGGTTGGTGCGGATGGGGTGTAGAGGTACTCCGATGAGTAAATCCGTTAATGTCAGAGTGCTGGACAGGAAGGCAGGCAGGTGAGTGTAAGTGGAGAAGCTGCGTGCTGACCAGTGACTGAACCAAGACAGGTTATGGCAGTGAGTTTCAGCAACATCCAGAGGTTTTCTGTGAGCAGAAGGTACAAGGTAAATACAAGAATAACTATGGCAAGATACTGTCACTGTGGCGGCCTTGACTAACGAGGCTTAGCAGACGATCTGGTGGGGAGTGAATATGAGCACTGATTTCAAGAAGCCAGCAGCCCAGATTACACTCAGGTGCAGCCTGTCAGCGGTGATGCGGCAGATACGCTCAGAGTGGAAAACCCCAGCGCTCACCCCGACCATCAGCTTGGATGTGAAAACCATGAAAGTCTGCATGTTAAGATCATACTGATTCTATAACTTGAGGACTAGAATACCAATATTGTGAATATCAAAAAAAACCAAATTTAGCAGAACAGCAGAACAGCTTATAGTTGAACAGTGGTGCCTTTTTGTACTTTTAGTGACTTGATCCCATAAGTGCATCTACTAAAAATCTTGGATGAGTATCAATATTGGTGACCTTGACCTCAAGGTTAAGGTCAAAGGTCATGTTTACTAAAAAATCTTGTGAATGCAATAGGTGTATTTACACAGGAAGAATATAATATAGGCTTCTCATACTAATAACTTAACTGACAATCTCTGACACTTTGCAATTTGACAATCTTGATCCGATTCATGCATTTTTGTTTTGCAGGTTTCTCAATGATGCAGAAAGCAATATGTAGTTAAAATGGTGTCAGTGTTTCAGTGTTTTGACACAATGACACTCAAAGCTTTTTCCCAGTTTACATTCAGGGAATTTTCATAATGATAATCACGCTTCTGGATGTTCAGGCCAGGGCACAATTTGATTGCAAAAATGTTAAAAGATGTTAATGTTGTTTCAACATTATACAATAAGCATAGAACAACTTTTAGCCTTGTTAAAATGTAAAAGTGGGATTGTGCCACCTAAAGATTCAACTGCCAGGAGGCTGAGGCGCTGGCACCTGCCAGTATTTTATAAAGTTTATTTTACTGAGTGCTTTGAGTGCTCAGTGAGATTAGAAAAGCGCTATATAAGAACCAGTCCATTTACCATTTATCTGAATTGTCCTGTGAAGTACTTTGTTCTGAAAAACAGTTTATAAATAAAGATTATTATTATGTTTTATTGTTTTTAAAAGGGTTAAGCCAGTAAAAACCTATTTCAGGAACTGTTTGATTTACTGAAACAGATGTGCTTCCATTAGGTCATGCATATTGTCTGCAAACATCAGTCTGACGCTGTTGGCATAAACAAAATTATATTATCAACATATAGTGATAGTTGATGGTCAGTGTGTCCTGTTGTTAACCCATTGATTTGTGGGTATGATTGTACAGTTACTGCAAAAGTGGAATTGCTAGTGTAAACAGCAGCGGTAGCAGAGGACCATCCCAGTGAGACTTTAAAGAACTAGGATCATTAAACCTTGTCAAAGACCTTCTCTGCATCTAAAGGGCCGTATTAGAAGTTATTTTATTATTATTTAAAATATGATGATATGATGTTTTTTTTGTTTTTTTTCAGGTTCTGAGCTGTGCTCCTATGAGTTAGCAGCTCATAGATATCCTGTTCTCGAACAGAGGACCACTAAATGCCCCAAACTACCTGTTCCACCAAGGTATGTTGCAGCTTTTCACCCCAAAGTGGCTTGCTTTTTTGCTTTTTCTGTGACCTCTGACCTCTGTCTTCCATTCTCAGTAAACCGCTGCCCGTGTTTAATCGCTGCACTCCGGTGGACATCTCCTGCTACGCAAGGTTTGCTGAGGCTGTGGTGACGTTTGTCGGGGATAACAGTGTTCTGCACCGACTGATCGCTGGCGTCGCTGCCAGTAAAGAGATCATCATCGGACTTTGTGTCCTCGCACTGTGTGAGAACAAGCATCAACCTCTAAGACGAAAATCTAATTCTCATATGGAAGTGCCAAAAACTGCAGTTCTTCTAATGGCCACTTGAGGCTCTAACATCACTTTTTTTGCCTGTCTTTTTCAGTCCTCTCCATGATCCTCATGGTGATCATTCGTTACATCTCTGCTGTCCTCGTCTGGATCCTCACCTCACTGGTTGTCCTTGGATCCCTTGGTGAGATCACTTCCTGTCTGTTTGTTGCATTAAAAGATATAAACAGATGAAATGTGTCTGAAATAAGGGCTCTGCTTTTTGTGTCTAAGCGGGGACTAGTGTGCTCTGGTGGCTCTACATTGACTACCGGCTATACGGGAACGACACTTCCTCTAAAGTACTGAAGGAAGCGAAGGAGGAGGTGGAGGTCACCAGAGATAGCGGACAGGCACTGCTTGTCTATGCCGTTGCTGCCACTGTATTCACTGTATGTACTCGACATCAAACAGAGCATAGAAAGTGTGATCGATTGGTGTTTTAAACCCGAGACTGACTGTGTGTTTTGTCTCCAGATCATCCTCCTGCTGCTGATGCTCTTCATGAGGAAACGAGTAGCTCTGACCATCGCTCTGTTCCACGTGGCAGGAAAAGTCTTCATCCACCTCCCCCTCCTCACCCTGCAGCCCTTTGTCACCTTCTTTGCCCTCCTGCTCTTTTGGATCTACTGGATCCTGGTCCTTCTCTTCTTGGGAACCACCGGTCAGTTGCAGCAGTCAAAGAGAAAAGCTGACATCATAAACACGGAGCTGTCCCTCTGATGTGCTCATTTCTAATCCTATCTCTCCTGGTTACTCCCAGTGAACATCTTAACACCTTCAACTCTGCTACTGCTACCTTGGCCTCCTGTCTTCAGTTTAAACTACAATGCTGTTAGATATTCGTCTTTGTTTTGCTAATAAGTCAAACAGCTGGTATATATTTGGTTGACATGTCCAAGATCTACAGTTTCTCTCTGTTCTTGTTGTACCTTTTGGTTGTACTGACTCATTCGTAAATCATTTATCCTATAAATTATGCTTGAACCAATTTGGGCGAATCGCGGTACTGGAAACTATCTCTGTGGATTTGTGTTTCTGTTGAACGTTGAATGTAAAGTAGCAGATTTCATTTAGCTTTAGTCATCAAATTATTCTTTCTCTCTTTGCTCTGTGTGGTCGTGCAGGTAACCCCGTACAGAACGAGGAGACGGGGCTGACGGAGTTCAGACTGACCGGTCCTCTTCAGTACTTGACCTGGTACCATGCTGTGGGCCTGGTCTGGATCAGTGAGTTCATCCTGGCCTGTCAGCAGATGACTGTGGCCGGCGCTGTGGTCACGTACTATTTCACAAGGTGAGTCTATACTACACTTTACATACCTTTTTCATACTTGATATTTCACTTGGGAATTTGGTATATGATGGTATTTAAATAGAAAAGACAGCTTCTTTTCGCCTGAGCCACTGACTGTAATCGATGTAGTAAAGCAACATGGTGGAAAGTGGCTAAAATCAGCTTGGATACTTTTAGGAAAATGAACAGCTGGTCTGTAGGTATTTGGACAATGACAGCAGGATCATGTGTCTCTCATTCTCCATACCTTTCTTTAGCAATCGTTCTGGTATAAATTTATCTGTACAGGCTCATTAGATGTTTTGTCATAAAGTCTAATCTAAGATAAGATAAGGTGACCTTTATTAGTCCCACACGTGGGAAATTTGTTTTGTTACAGCAGGAAGGGGACAGTGCAAAGTTACATAGCAAAAATTAGAAAAACACTGGAATAAGATAAGAATAAGATACTGTACACAATAGAATAGCATAAAATAAAATAAAATACTATATATAATAGAATAAAATAGAATACAAATGCTATATACAACTGAGTATAATACAACGATGCCAGAAAAGAGTATTGCACTTAGTATTATTGCTTTTGCACATGTGTGGATGTGTGTGTTTGGTCAGTTGGAGTCTTTGTTGTACAGTCTGACAGCAGTGGGGAAGAAAGACCTGCGAAATCTCTCCGTCCCACACCGTGGGTGCCGCAGCCTGCCACTGAAGGAGCTGCTCAGTGCTCTCAGAGTCTCCTGCATGTGATGGGAGATGTTGTCCAACAGGGATGACAGCTTAGCCACATTCTCCTGTCACTCACCACCTCCACTTGTCAAGAGGGCATCCTAGAACAGAGCTGGCCCTCCTGTTCAGTCTCTTCCTGTCCCCAGCAGAGATGCTGCCACCCCTGCAGACCACACCATAAAAGATGGCTGAGGCCACCACAGAGTCATAGAAGCACTTCAGTAGTGGGCCCTTCACTCCAAACGACCTAAGTCTCCGCAGCAGGTACAGCCTGCTCTGCCCTTTTCTGTAGAGGGCGTCTGAATTATGAGTCCAGTCCAGTTTATTGTTCAAATGAACACCAAGGTACCTGTAGCTGTCCAGAGTCTCAATGTCCATACCTTGAGTGTTTAGTGGTTGCAGTGGAGGATGTTTGTGCCTGCAGACATCTACCACCAGCTCCTTGGTTTTACTAGTGTTGATCTGGAGGTAGTTCTGCTGGCTAATCTGGTCCTCTTATTGGTTGTAAGCAGTGGGTTGCGGCTTGTTGTAAACAAGCTGCAAAAAAATAATATTTTTGAAGGTTTCTCTTGATTGTAGACATTGGCCGTGATACTTCTAGAGAGTGCGCTTCAGTCATATCGTAATTGTTTGAAGTAAAGTACACTGTGGAGGTGTACAGAGTCAAAATTACAAAAAAATTATTATGCTTGTTTTTTCTCAAGGTATTAAAATCATACTGTCTGTATTTCTAGTCACTCTGGTATACAATGACAGCATAATACTGCATCTTTTTAGCCTGCCTTTTTAAACTCTGGGTTTCAGAGTGGATTCTCCACATGCGTACCCCCTCGTTTCAGGAAACATAAAGGTTCTTCTAAATGTCTCCTGGCAGGAAAGACTCTTAACCAGGACTTTGTGTTTCAGGGACAAGAACCGACTCCCAGTGACTCCAATCCTGTCCTCAGTCCTGAGGCTGGTCCGGTACCACCTGGGCACAGTTGCTAAAGGATCCTTCATCATCACACTGGTCAAGATCCCACGACTCATCCTCATGTACATCCATAATCAGCTCAAAGGAAAGGTACAAAAACTTTATTTACTAGACTGTTAAGATAAGATAAACCTTTATTAGTCCCACATCTGGGAAATTCTTTGTGTCACAGCAGAAAGTGGACAGTGCAAAGTTACAGCAGCAAAAATTAAGAAAAACAATGGAATAGAATAAGATAAAAGAATAACATACTATATAAAAATAGAATAAAATGCTATAACTAGCACAAAGCAGTAGTGCATGATGGCAGAATATAATTGCTAAGACTTAAGTTAGAACGTTACAAGAAGAGAGGAAAGAGGAAATAAGAAAAAAGCTCAGAAATGAGCAGAGCTGCCGTAACAGGCTGCCACACGCCAGAAGCCTTTAAAAAAAATCAGACCCTGAAAAAATTAGTTATCACTTTTACTAAACATGAAGTAATAAAGCAATAAGATGCAAACAAAATACCTAAAATCAAAGTTTTATTTATTCAAATAAATAATTTTTAAAGAGGACAGTGCTTAGTATAAACTGAATATATACCAAGTAAATGTTATTTCACCAGATCCCATTAAATTTAAGATTTTACATTGATTTTATGTAACAATTAGTTAAAGAAAGCATTTAGGCAGATTTTCTTATTTTCTGTATGCCCTCTTGAAACTCCTGATGAATACTGAGATGTGCGTAGGTTTATGGATTTAGTAGGGAACCTTACCATGACATTGTCACTTAGAAGAACAATGTGAACCTGTCAGTGGCGAACACACTGTTGCTAAGATTACACGGAAGTGATTCATTGAACAGTTTCACCAATTATGATCAAACTGGAAAAAAAAAACATCAGAAGAATGACTTGATGTCCTTTAAAGGTTTGGTAACAATACAGACCGAAGGGCATCCGTCTCTATGCTGATGATGTTTTGGTGTTCATACCGAAGTCTCCTCATCACTACCACACCATTTCTGTTGCATTAACAACTCGTTCGTCCTTTTTTTAAATGATTACATGTACAGTGTGTTGTATGTGACATGTAAACATAAATACATTTTATATATAACCTGATATTATCTGTTGTTTATCAGGAGAATGCGTGCGCTCGCTGTATGCTGAAAACTTGTATCTGTTGTCTGTGGTGTTTGGAGAAGTGCCTCAACTATCTCAATCAGGTAATACTTCACCCTCTTCTCTTCTCTTCTCTTCATTGATATAATCATCTCACCATATCTGGTTTTATTTCCCAGAATGCATATGCAGCCACAGCCATCAACAGCACCAGTTTCTGCACGTCTGCACGTGACGCCTTCGTGATCCTGGTAGAAAACGCGCTGCGAGTCGCCACAATAAACGCCATTGGAGACTTTGTGCTCTTCCTGGGGAAGGTGAGGCGGGAGCTTGATTTTTCATTTTTTCTGCCAGTTTGTGCTGCTTTGGAGGAAGGATCTTCACTTTGACCGTGATCACCTAACTGAATGTTGCTGTAAGAGAGCTTTGAGTGCTCAGCTACAGCAGAAAAGCACTATATAAGAACCAGTCCATTTACCATTTACAGTTCTGTGAGATTAAGTTCAGAATTTCCAAAATATTGACTTTAAACACTTTTACTGGTCCCGTGAAATGAGATTTGATGCCATGCCTAAATGTTTTTTCTATACTATACGTATACGCCAGTATAGGTGGGGAAAGGAGCTATTAGCTAGCCAGATCCAGAAACAGTGCTATTATGTTCATCTTCCTTCCTTTTCTTTGCATTTGTTTTTTAGCTGTAAAATCTAGTGGCAGGGAGGGCTTTCATCTTGGCTTTTGTCCACCATTCTCCTGTCACTCACAGACAGATAAATTTCTAGCTTACAAACACCCCAGCAGAGCTGGAGCTGATGTTGACTGGTAGGTTACCTGTCTAAGGTGTTCTCGGAAGCTCTGTTGCTTTCTGTCTTTAGTAGGAAAAAAGTAGCTAGTGAACTTTGAAGCATCACCGCATATGGACAGTGGATTTCAGTTTTTCTTTTCCCACCTGTCATCAGTTTATTTGAATATATCTCCTCAGATCCTGATTGTGACGACAACGGCGTTCGCTGGAGTCCTCCTCCTGAACTACCAGCGGGATTACGCAGAGTGGCTGCTGCCGCTCATCATCGTGTGTCTTTTCTCCTTCCTGGTGGCCCACTGCTTCCTGTCCATCTTTGAGATTGTGGTGGACGTCCTCTTCCTCTGCTTCGCCATTGATACAAAGTACAACGATGGCACTCCAGGGAAGGAGTTCTTCATGGACAAAGCTCTGATGGTGAGATCTTTCGTCTGTCTCCCTCAGAGCTCGGTGAATTTACTAAAAGGACTGATATGGTAACATTCAACTCTGAAAATATGTTAGTGTAATGATGACCTGCAGCAATGTTCCCTCTAAGCTGTGCGCATGCGCAATTGCGCACTGCTAGCACGGTCTCTGCGTTAAAACTTTAACAATTCTGTTTTGCAGTGTTAGTCAGTAAGTGACTGGCTGCTCCCGTATGGGATTAGAACGATGCCACCTTATCCCATAGTCCAGCCAATAATGCGATTCACATTCGTATATATGCAGCTAATCAACGTCGTTGACAGGCTATGACAGCGTCCTTATGTGCCGACACCGGTGTTCAAATTCAAATTCAAATTTTATTTGTCACATACACAGTCATACACAGTACGATATGCAGTGAAATGCTTAGACAACTGCTCGTGACCTAAAGAAAAAA